GAAAACAGTTGGTTTTCATAAACATTTGGGTGTAACCTTCTCGTCTAACGGGAGTTAGCAGCATCATACTGAAATCATTGTCAGAAAGACATCTAAAATGATTGGAGCATTTCAGATATTAAAGTTCCTACTAAATCGAACACTCATAGGGAATAAGGAAGTTAAATGTTTTGCACACAAGATTAAGATATATGATGGTTACATTTAATTATGATTTATTTAGAATAAATATAAATAAATGACGCATCATGTCAATGTGGCCATGGATGTGAGAGTGTTTTTCATTACTTCCATGAATGTCCATTGTATACTATTCAAAGACATACACTGTTAAACTCTTTAGAAAGTATTGATTGGCTGATTGGTATTAATCATGTCTTACATGGTAATGCAGGTCTCTCAGTTACTGAAAATCTGAATGTTTTCATTTAATCACAACCAAATTCTATTTACACACAATCAAACTTGTCGGTAACGAACCTGTTTCAGGCTCACCCTACTCTACTCACAAGACAGTGGACTGTTCCATTATACCCGTAGGTGTTACCCTAATTAACCTTCTAGTTCAGTGTCTGTCAATTGACTGTCTGTCAAATGGGAGATAAACGAATAGACAGACACACTAAACAGGCAGCCATACAAGCTCAGGAGATTGTTATTTGTATCTATAAGCAGTTAGATGCTCAAGGAAATGTTTCATTTCAGCCGCTTTCTAAAATATTTGATGTTAAAATAAGCCCAATACTACTATATGGATCTGAAGTCTTGGTCTTACAACATTTCGATGTCATAGAAACAGTTCATTTATATGTCTGTAAAAGATTTCTTGGCGTTAAGACAAGTACATCTAGTGTTATGGTTTATGGTGAATGTGGTAGATTCCCGATGCACATATTTTCTCAAGTTAAGGCTATCAAATACTGCTTAAGATTGTTGAACATGCCTTCAAATAGATTTCCCAAAACGTGTTACAATATGATGATAAACTCACGGGCTAAAGAAACGTCACCAAAATTATGTTTTATCTTTTATCGTACCTTTGTATTTTTTTCAATAAAAATGGGTTGAAACAACTTGCCCGAACGCAACAAACATACACTACGCATTGAATTGCATGAGATTCATGTAATTTGTGTAAAAATGTTAAATTTGTATGGAATTTTGCGAAATCCCTTAGTAAAAAGCCGTATTGAATTCAGGTGTAAAATGTGTAGAGAAATGATGTATTCCATTATCACATCGTATGGTAGAAAGGAAACATGCCGAGGCTAACAGCACAACAGAGAGAACGACCTATCTGTATGCTGGATTTGGGAGCGACGCAAATAGAACAATCCTGAGATTGGTGAGCCGTTACAGACGGATGGGCGTCACGTCTGACAGAGTTGGAAGTGAACGTCCGGAAGTCACTACTCCCCTGGAAGACCATTATTTACAACGGCTTCACTTGAGGAACCGCTTCTTAACTGTGACGTCATCAGCCCGAACTGCTCTTGGCCATCCAGTCAGCAGAAGGACCGTTGCCAGACGTCTTCGCCACCAGTGTATCAGAGCCCATCGACCGTTGAAGGCTATGACGTTGACGCCTGAACATCATCGTCAAAGACTAAGGTGGGCGAGACCAGTCGTCGTGCCATTCATCCAGAATCACACGCGTACCGTGTTCCAACAAGACAACGGCACACCTCATAGGGCACGCATCAGTATGGACTGCTTTATGCCCATAATGTGACATTGCTTCCTTGACCAGCTCGATCTCCCGACTTGTCCCCGATTGAACCCCAGTGGGACCACCTTAGACGACAAATCAGCAAGCGACAGCCACACATACAGACAAAAGAGGCGTTGGCACAGGCCCTACAGGAAGAATGGCGGAAAGTCCGATAGATGTGATCGGACGACTGACATTATCCGCTAGACGTCGTGTTCATGCTTGCATACAAGCCAGGGGTGACCACACACGATATTGACTGTATTTAACTGTCTGTCTTCACTTTAGAGCCGCTTATGATGAAACAGATGGTGCTCGAATACCGGACAGTCAACTGTCCTTGATTCAATTGTACACTGTGTGATCATTCATATCTGTAGTTCACGGGTTCATCATTCAGAATGTTGTAAAACCATTGATTATCCAAATATGATTGTTACATTTCGAAGCTCTGAGTTTGTTGTTTTGTGACATGTTTTAAAAGCGAGGTGACGTTTCTTTCGCTCGTGAGTTTAGTTTATGACAATAACCGAAAACATAAATAATAATTGGGTAATATAAAAACATTGCTGTTTAAAACAGGTTTTGGTAACGCATGGTATGACCAAAACGTTAGCTGCTACCCTAATTTTATCATGTCGCTGACTCAAAGATTTAAGGATATTAATGTGCAGACATGGTTTGAATCACTGACTATCAAACAAATGTTTCTATTACAAACTTTTTAAAGCGAAAATTAGTTTGGAGTGGTATCTATCTAAGATAATATTAAAGAAGTTCCGAGTTGCATTATCACGTTTTCGTTGCTCATCTCATGATTTATTTATAGAAACTGGACGCTATACTGATATTAATGGACCAGAGAGAATATGCCAACTATTCGATTTAAATACTGTCGAGGATGAGTACCATTCGTTCTTGCTTGGGGGCAGGACTGAAGTCCTAGAAACTAGAGTCAAGCTGTCACCAATCTAAGGACTCTCCGCGCTCATCGTTGCTTAACGTCACCTGATTTGTGACCTGAGCTCTATGCATAGGACCACACGCTACCATAAGTAACAAGTATCATATGCTAGATGTTCGTTTGGTGCAATAATCCCAAGCATACAATGGAAGGAATTGGGCGTATATGTTTATATTGAAATTTGCAATTTTGTAGCAGTTCGGGTTTGTGCTGTCAACTATGAGTGTACAGCTAGAAACCAGGTGTCAGTTTCAAATTTATCTAAATATTTGTTGAGTGTAATGATGCAAATAATTGTGTCTGTTTTGTAACCGAATATTTAAGAATCATCCTAGGCCTTTAAATTTTGTTCTGTTTTTATAATATACTGTCATAACTACCACTGCAAGTAAACTAAACGCCATGTTTAATATCATTATACATATTTAGCTAGAAACAATGTGTGTCATTTGCAATTTGTATTGAGCATTCATTGGTTGCTACTTCAAGAAAGGCTGCCTTTATTCCCTTACTTAGACACCTGTTGTGTAAAGGAATCATATCAAGGGCATGTACAAATGTATGGCAGCATTTTCCTTTATTTGATATCCCTATGTGAAACTCTCAAGTAAAACATTTAGGCACCATCGGGTGAACACATTCTCCAACATGTTTTGGATATGAACGTAATTTCTCGGATTTGCAGACACAGGGCAGCACAAGAACAGTGATATGAACAGAAGGTGATATTTCTAGAATGGTTGTAATGCCTGATTATCTGATGTTTGAATACCTGACTACAGAAAAATCAACAAAATGTTGGCATTATATCAATTTGTATGTTCTGTATGTGAGAATGCCAACACTGTTGATTTGTGGAAGAACAGTAAATTGAATAAGTATTGTCCTGGACAACACATGATGAGACAATGTCGTATCTCGCTGTCTGTATAGGCCTCTTAAAACCTACCGAGGTGTTTGACATCAGTATCCCGTGTATCCGTCAGGTGCCTGGATGGCAGCCTCCATCGTTCTTCTCGTGCAATGCTGCCTCCAATTCACCAACATTTTGTACAGGAGGGACCGTTGCCTGCAAACAATGACCAAGACAAGAATGCCCCAGATGTGCTCGATGGGGTCCAGATCAAGGTTCCTTGCAGGCCATGAGAGAATCTCAAAAGCATTATTCCACAGGAACTCACCCACACCACAAGAAGGATGTGGCCTTGCACTGTCGTCCATGAATATGGGGTGGGTAGCAAATGAGTGGTTATCAAAATGAGGCACAACATCTTCATCAAGAATGTCCGTGATGTAGCGCTGGCCATTAAGATTTCCCCAGTCACCAATGTCATAGGAGTCAAAGTCAAAGTCAAAGATGTTTATTGTACAAAAGGCGTCCGGCCCATATACATTGGAGTTATACATATACATTATACATATGGTGCAATAAGTAGTAATTAGTGATCCAAACAGCAAATCATGATACAGGCAGTAAATTATGTACAAGTAGTGAAATATGATGGACCTACAACACTTTTTATCAGATTGTTACGTTTAATTAGAGCATAATTGATATAGTATGACAGCTTTATTATTACATGCTAGTCAGTTGATGAAAGAAGTAGTTTAAATGCTAATGTAGGTGGCTTACATAGATAATATTCAGCTATATATTTCGTACGCAAATCTTTATACAAAGGACATACAAGTAACAAATGGATTTCATTTTCCACATCTATATTACACAGTGGGCACATTCTCTTGCATCGTTCAATATAAAAACGTCTTCCTTCGTTTACCATTATGTTGATCAAACCTAACCTAAAACGTATAAATGGATATCATAATTTCTTTGATGTTAAAAACGACATATATTTCTCCGGCTGGAGTAGTGATTTGTATACTCTATAAGAGTCGTACCGTGAACTATTATGTATTACTGAATACCATTCTTGATTAAACATATTAATACTTCTTTCTCGAAACTGAGTTAAAAACAAACTTGCATCACTAACTGACTGACTTGACCATACAAAACCATAACCATATGAAAACAGAAGATTTCTTACATAAGAAAGTCGCATCCCAACACGATAACTGAACAGCAGGATGAATGTTCCTCGGCACATGTTAACGCCTCTACAAATTCTCTGACGACCATCCGTCACATGAAGCAGGAACCTGTCTTTGTCTGACTATTGGATTCCTGTAAATATCTGTAAATAATCGAGTCTGGTCCAGACAGTCCAGTGATCAAAAGCATGAGCATCGATCTGTGCAATTGGGATTCGATGACATGTGTCAACCAAGTCAGCGAGCCTGACCACCCGTTACGGTTAGTCGCCTCTTACGACAAGCATGGGGTACTGAAGATCAATGTGATGGTAAATTTTAACTCACTCACTCACTACTGAAGATCAAGTCTAACCCGGATCTTCACGGGTTTATCAAGATTACAACATTCAACACATGGGAAGACATTTCTAACACGGCCAAGCATGATAAAAACTATGTCCGATGCAATTTGACGTGTACCATATGTTTTCGTGATCTTTCACTTGGATACGTGTGTGAAGGGTGCCATCGGTTGGCAGTAAACACCCTACTTTTCACGAACACATGGTATCATCAATATTTGATGGTGATTACCAAACAAACATTCAAGATATAGTCCGGTCAAAATGGATTTAGCAGGAATTTGGAATAAACATGGTTCGTTTTCGCCTTTATTGTTAAATGAGAGCAAACGCTCAGCAACAATACTGCTGCAACAAGGTCATAAAAAGTTACCTGCGAGGTGATGTACAATAGACGAAGTCATCTTAAGTTATTTTCAGAATGCCTTCATAAGATTTCTACAAGGATGCTTCGAAAACTCCCCACAGCAACGAACTAGACAATAAGCAACTAAAGCATAACTTCCTGTTGAATTGTTGAAGAGCGTTTAACCTATATCCGGTTGGGTGATAAAGAGTTCCAAAGGGTTAGGTAAAGGAAATATGTCCGCCTTGACTCAAACCTGTTCCAAGAATCCCAAACCCACGGTCCGGTTTTAATCTTGCTATAATCTCAGCCCGATGCCTCGCAGCAATCAAAGCACCCTTCAACGCATCTAACAACAAGATGTCGACCTTCTTTTTGAGCACCGTTTCGTCAGTGTAACATTTTACAGGGAAGACAAATGCTTGGGCACATGGAAAAGGTTTCCGGCTGACCTGACAGCATGTTCTAAGCGTTGGTTTGAGAACGCTGTTTTTAAGTCAGATTCAATGACGCAATCGACGTGTGTCATAACAACACACCGGGGAATATCTGAAAATAAACAGAACGATTCTTGTTTGAATAACTTTGTGTTTCAATGCTCTTGTTGCAAGATATAAGTCTTAAACTAGTTTGAAATTGGGTTTTGCCAGCTCCGTTGGAAAATCAGGATCGTTGGAAAATCAGGACCTTTAAAACTTTTCTGTGAACCAATTATCGCTGTTGTGGCATTGCCAGACCATGCATCATAATCGACAGTCTTGGAATGAACACTATCATCTCTGGTAGGAATAGTGCACATATGGAACTGCGGCAGTTTATGACACATAAGGGAGAAATTCATCAACATTCATCATTCATCAACTGGAATGGACGATGTCTACACCGTGGACATAATAATAAAGGGTTGGTTATTAGATGTTTCTTGTGCATGCAATGAACTGATATTATGTTACATCATGATGATTCTTACCCATATCATTTAGGGCCTCGAGGACCTTTTCGAGATACTCTCTGAATGAGAATATACCACCGAGATTATCTGACTTTGTTGCATTAACAACAAAGATGATCCCCAGGGGAAGATCCGTAGCATGGTATTGCATGACTTGTTCAATCACTGTATCTTTTTGGGTCGGCATCTTGAAAAAAAGAAGAAAAGATTACACACTCTCACAATTGGAATTACGTCACAATCTTTTCAGTAGTGGTAGAATTTAAATTTCGGTTTGTTTGTGGTGTGACGCTGCACTGGGAAATAGTTCATGTGACATTATATATAATGGATTTTAAATGTATTACGAGGAATGTGTTCCAAGCTTAACTATGCTTAATGGACAGCGTTGGAGGTGGTTGCTGATTCTGATTCAACATAATCCCCTCCACGATCCACACAATTATTTCATAAAATGATGTTGGAATGCCTGGATCTTATGAGTACAGACGGATTACTTGTAGTGATGGTGTTTACTGTTGCGAGGCATGGTTCATCAACATGATCATCATAATCATCATCTGATTGTTAACATTTTATTCAGTGCTGGTAGTTGAAGGTCTTCCTGATCTTGGATTATCTTCTGGGCTCTCTGTTCTCCTCTTGGCCTCCGCTGCCAAACAGATAACTGTGACAAAGGAGTAAACACCGTCCTCTAAAATTGACATGTACGCTCTTGCAGTAATCTCCATCTGTTAAACATATTTTATGCCTGCGAGGAAGAATAAATTGTCCATTTTCATCAAAGAAAATACCCAGTTATTTTGATGCCAACAGAAATATGCAGTCTGCTTGTGCATTTGGTTCAAACGAAGCACATGAGCTTATAAAGTAATGTTCTAATCTGATGATGTATTTCACATGTCTTTTAGTTAGGCAAAGAACATTTCAGCCATCCCACGTCTGTTTCATATAAAACACATACCAACCCGTGTCTTTAGGGTGATTAGCCAACCCAAGGACGTCAATATATATATATTCCTATAATGTTTTTGGCTGAACTAAAATCCTGGGATCCTATCCACAAAGGGTTGTAGCATTACGTCATTCGTATGCCAATGATGTATACGAGTTACGATAGGTCGTAACGTTACGAACACTTTGTAGATCAGGACCCAACCTATCGTCTTACATCACGCATGTAAGGTTTAACGTGTCTGCGGGGATATTCCTTTTTGCGAGCATACCACTAACCAATGCCAATGCATATGGGGAAAAGTAATATATATCCATACAGATGAAATATTTCCAAAGGAAAGGAATAAATTGTCACATGTTCCCTTAATTTCTCTTCATCATATGTTTTCTCCTTGGCTTCATCATTTGCATTTTATCAATCTTGTAAATCCAATATCCCCTACTTTTTTAATGGTATATAACAGTAAACAACAATATACTGGTGTTTAGGCAGTATAAGAACACAGCCTACAATTTCTCCTTGTTGAATCGTTCCAGTAAGGATCTTCATGATTCCATCAATTCCAGCGCCTTCCCCTTCCTCGTGTAGCCCTCTGGAGTCACACAGTACGAACGGTAAGTCCTCGTTGTTATGTATGAGCGTGTGCTCGTTGTACTGCAGTGTAATAATAATAAGTGTGACTCACTGTATCTTCACGCGAAGAAAGGGTTTTGAATTATTCGTTGTTAAACACAACAACCAGCTATATTTCATGTGCTTCATGGCCTGTAACTAATCGAGACTGTATAGGGCCCGTAACTTAGTCACGGCACTTCGTGAGACCTTAGTACTTCCGGTGACAAACAACGTGTTATACCTTTTAGAATAGTCTCATGATTGTCAGATGACAGTTAATCCTTGCAGGAATAACAAATTTCCGATCAAAATATCCCCACAAATTAGCAAACTGTGACAGCCAAGCATGGTTGTACACTTGGTCCTGTCTAGTAAAGTCACATATGGCAGTCGCACAATTTGGAACCAGAGCTGGTCCTTGAGTATACACTTGTCACCGGAAATCTGGTACTGGAAGTAAGCTGGGCCCCGTCCAAGTTGGTGCGCGCAATGTGAGCCGGCAACCAGCTTAGTACCGGAAGTAGCGCCTCGCGAGACTTACAGGCCTTTTTCGACACTCTGACAAAAACATCAATCTGCGCAGTTGACCTAGAAAGACATGCAGCTTGTCTCACCATCCTATAAATATATATATCTTCGCTAACGACATGGATGATTACCTGGAAACGGGAGGTTCTGCTTGGTAAAGATTATTGTGAATACAACGATTTCAGCAGGTACATGGAATAGGTTTTATGAAACTTAAAATCATCCTCCAATTGTTCTCCACTGGTCATTTATCTTTCATGATGTTACCGACGTTTCTGAACCTAAATTTGACTTAAATAAATACCAATCTTAATAAAATCATATTTTAGTTCTCCCTAATGTTAAACATAGACTTTTCATCCGATCAGTCCGAGTGTCGCGTACCAGATTGGGAAATTGACAGTTGGACTTTGTTCTGATCATTCAGCCTTGAAAGGGTAACACGCCCTCTTCCAAACGACAACTATGTGCTGTACGATAAATTCATCAAAATCATCCACGGCTCTCGCTGCAGGGGAGAAACATTTGAAACGGAAGAAAATTTCCGTAATCTGTCTTACGTACTGCAATACAATCTGGGCAATATTTTATACTGGGTCAAACTATATAGAACCTTCACAATCGTATATTAAATAATATATAAAAGAAAGGACACAAGAACGTGGTATAGAGGTTATCATTTATTTGTTAGGTCGATAGGAGGATCTGAGTAAGAAAGTAACACACTTTATGGAAAACAACCTCTTTATAGGATGCGACGTTCTTGGTATGGATTCCCGTAGCAGGAAAAGAAAAGAATCAATTTTAACTCCGACAATGGTGAAGACTGTAACGAATTATTTTCGTTATATGAGCTCCATACCGCCCTTGAGCAAGCTCATGATACAGCAACAGGGGCTGATAATATACACTATCAGATCTTAAAGCATTTGCCTGAATCGTGTTTAGAAATCCTATTCGAAATGTTTGATCAAATATGGACTTCAGGGAATTCCCCACCTTCGTGGCATAATGTCATTGTAGTCTCTATACCAAAAACCCGGCCGGGGTCCTACTGATCCATCTAATTACAAACCCATATCTCTAACCTGCTTCCAGCTAGTGTCCATGCAGATAGCAAAAGTAATGTAAGTCCCCATGGTTCATAGTATGGTGATCTAGCTTCAATTTTTGGCGATGTATAGCCCGTGTTTTATACTGTATTGTCTTCTTTAATTGGAATGTTTTAACTTTGCTCGCTGGTTTTATATTCATATCTGTGATTCTCTAGTATTTTTACTGTGATTAGAATCTTTTGTTAAAAAATATAATAGTAAATACACAAAGGCAAGTCTCTTTGATGGTCTCTTTGTTGGATCTATTGAGCTGAGCGGCGTTCGATACGCTGGACCACTCAATTCTATTAAATCGGATGGAAATAACATATGGCATTCGAGGCACAGTTCTAGAATGGTTTAAATCTTATGTCAGTGGACGTACACAGAGAGTTGAAATTGATTCCACCCAGTCCAACCCTAGTTCCCTCGGGTATGGAGTACCGCAGGGCTCTGTCCTGGGGCCAGTGTTGTTTACTCTGCATGTACAGCCACTCTCAGATGTCATCTCTTCCCATGACTGTGAATTCGAGAAATATGCAGACGACACCGAAATATCCAAAAGTGGTCTTCCTCAGGATTTCAATGCTGTCAAACATGGCATCCAATCATGCATTGACGATGTTTTGGAATGGATGCTCAGTAATAAACTGAAATTGAACACCGACAAAACAGAGCTTATGGCAGTTGGTGCACCTAACCGGCTAAAACTTATCAAGGATGAGTCAGCTGTTATAGGAGAGAATGATATTCCCTTTCAACCTTGTGTGAAGTATCTTGGAGTGCACTTAGATCAATCACTAACTCTCCATAACCATATCAGCAGTGTGTCCCGTGCTTGCTTTCGTGAGTTGCGCCGACTCGCTTCTATAAGACCATATCTCACTGAAGACGCAGCAGCCAGTCTTGTAAGTTGCTTTACCACTTCAAGGCTGGACTACTGCAATTCAGTTTTCTGTGGTCTCCCTCTTGAAGAGATCACTCGTCTCAAGCGAGTACAGCACGGTGCAGCTCGTCTTGTGATGAAGAGACGGAAGTACAATCACGTGACTCCCATGCTGCAGCATCTACATTGGCTACCTATCACGCTTCGGTGCAAATACAAGATTGCAACACTTGTGTTTCGCCATTTTGATGGTTCACTTCCACCATACCTGTCCAGAGAGCTCTCTACTTACAAGGCTCCACGAACTCTCCGCTCTTCCAGTGAGAAACTGTTAAAAATACCAAAGTGCAACTTAAAGTCAGCAGGACAGCGCTCTTTCAAATACATTGCGCCCTCAGTTTGGAATGCTCTCCCAAATGAACTCCGCAATTCCCCTTCTCTAAGTTCATTCAAGACCGGTCTAAAAACATTCTTATTTAAACAAGCTTTCCTTTAATGTGTCCTTTCCGTTGTCAGAGAGAAGAGAAGCGCAAAGATGCTATCCTTTACGGAGATTTGAAAGATTTATATAAATGCTATCCATTATTATTATTATTATTAAAGATCAACAGTTTATCCAAGGTTTTAAATGATTCAATCAATGGATCACTTTTTGTGGATGATTTTAACATTTCTTGTCGCGGTAAAGATAAGCATGCTATTGAACCGCAACCGCAGTTGTGTTGAAACAAAATGAATTAAAGGTGTCTTGAAAATGGCCTTCAATTTTCAGACGCGTAGCAAGCCAGTTTTTTCGTGTAAGCCCGAAAGGTTGCAAAACTTTATATTCAGATAGTAATGTGTGCTTGCCCAACCTTTTGAGCAACAATCCCGGGGTTTTCTTTAAAATGGTAGCTACGCTCCTGATTTTCTAAATCAAAAACAAATTGTATACATTTCTGCTGTAAATATAAACCTCATAAAGACCCAGAACTATTTTCAAATGGCACTCCCATCAAAGTTATCAAGGAGGCCAAGTCATTGGGTCTAATTTCGACTCCCATTTAACTTTTCTTCCGGACATCAAACACCTCAAAGGTAAATGCCTGAAGGCACTCGATTTATTGAAAGTAGTTTCTAATTCAAAGTGGGGAGGGGGTCAGGCTACTCTCCTATCCCATATAGATCATTGGTCCGCTCGAAAACTGATTATGGCTCTATTGTATACGCTGAACCTGCAAATGCAACCACAAACTATTAGATTCTGTCCACCACTAAGGTCTAAGACTCTGTCGTGGTTCCTTCATAACTTCACCTGTTGACAGTCTCTACGTCGGGCCGATGAGCCATCTCTTAACCATCGCCGTATGGTATATCTTTACAGTATCTCACTTAATTATATTCAAATGAGTCTAACCCTGCATGTAACTGTATCATCAATCCCATCTATGAGGATTTGTACAACAAGAAGTCTTCTCTTGGTCCGCTTCTTGGACTAAGAGTAAAACCTTTCGTTTCTGCACCTTCCCGCTTGCTCTCTTCTCTTCTTTGCAATTAGTGTGACCACAAGCTGACCTTACATGTACCACATTTAAAATTTTTTTAAACTAATGAATTACAATACAATAATCAATTAAAAAGTAAATATAATTCCTACAAATCCTTATTTACAGATGGGTCCAAAGATGGTGGCGCAGTTGTTTGTACTACTGTCATTGGATCCAGAAGAATAGCTTCTAGATAACCAGGTAATTTACATTTACCAGTTACATTTTCACAGCAGAATTAAACGCAATGCTAACAGCTCTTAAATATACTGAACATCATTGAAAACGCACCAGTCTAAAATTGTCCATATTTTCATCAAGATGGATGTCAGCATGACAATGATCAATGAATATAATTACCATTAAGTCGAAGGGCATGTCCAGTTGAAAAAATGCTTTAGAAACAAATTCCTTTCCACAGTATGACTCTTAATTCCAAAATGCATCAATATGTAGCCACGCCATGAAAAATGCGCGAATTTCATTCTGAAATCATACTGACTGTGACATTAAAAGCAGGTGTATGAGAACCGATTCTCATTGCTTCACTAACGATTGTGAAACGAGGACAGAGATGCAAAGGTTAACACCTCACGAAAGAGAACGTGCACTAGGCATGATTCAGGTTGGCACCAGCAGCAGAGATATTGCTCGACTTGGCCACTCCACCATGGTTAAGCTTCATAGACGACATCAGTAGACAGGTAGCACCCGTGACCTTCAATGACCTTGGCAACAACGTGTTACGACGCTCCATCAGGATCGCCATATTGACCTTGTCCATATCAGTGATTGAGCACTGCCGACTGCCAGGACTGCTGCACTAGTTCAGGGTGGACGTGGGGGTCATCAGAGCTGACTTCATGCGACGCCGGCTCAATATCGACGTCTTTACGTTCGACCAGTTCTGACTGAGAGACACCGTAATGAGCGTATACAATGGGCTAGCAGGCATTTTCAGTAAAGGTTACAACAATGGCATGGTGTGGTAGTCACTGACGAGTCACATCTTCATCTACGTAATGCTGACGGCCGATTACGTGTTTGGCGTAGACGTGGTGAACGTTATGCTGATGAGTGTTTGGTTCAGACAGACCTTTGGGTGGTGGGAGTGTCATGGTCTGGGGTGGAATAAATTACAATCACAGGACTGCCTTCATGTCTGTCAAGGGAGAGTAAATGCCCTTTATTACCGTGAGCATATTCTTCAGAATCACATCGTATCTGTCTTCAATCACCACCAATATGTCCATACATCTCAACAGGACAACGCACGGGCACACACAACAAGACTTTCCATGCAGTATCTGGCCCAGCAACACATCCAGGTTATTCATTGGCCAGCACAGTCGCCAGATGTATCCCCATGGAGCACTTGTGGGACGAAAATGGTCAAAGTATTTCGTGGCGACAACAGATGCGAAACATCCGGGAACTTGAGGCCGCACTACTGCAGAAGTGGAATGCCATCCTCAAGAACTCTATTCGGACGCTTATTGACTCAATGAGGAGACGTTGAACTGCATGTGTCAATGCAAATGGCGGTCACACGCGATATTGACTTTTCGATTTGTGTTTGATCTTTCTGACTGTGGAACATTTCAATGAATGAGCGTCTTTTCTGTGTTGTTGTTTTTGTCAGTCGTCCATCTGTTATTATCCACCCAAAAGATATCAATTCCTTACATGTGCTTTTAATAATCTGAACTTTTATAAGTGGTGCGTTTTCAATGATGTTCAGTATACATCAACAGACACTAAATATAAACAATATATAATCTTGTCCGACTCTCTTTTGTGCCTTCAGGCTATTAACAATTTATCTTGTAAACATCCACTTTTTATTGAAATTATTGAATTATATAATGATCATGCTACTAGCCAATACGACATCGTCTTCTGTTGGTTACCCAGCCATGTACGATCTCTGGTAACACAATGGCCGATTTTGCTGCTAAAGCAGCACTCAGCAAATCTGTGACACCACTTCTCATTCCATACTCCGAATACAAAGCAATCAGTACATCATACATCCGTTATCTAATCATGCAAAAGAAGTGGGACACTTAAGTAGGTATCAATAAATTACATGCAATTAAACCAACTATCGGTAACACCTATTTGGGTTATTCATTCAATTTATGAAGAGGTCATTATGCGACGATGTCGTATTGGCCATTCCAGTGAGTGAGTGAGTTTGATTTTACGCCGCTTTTAGCAATATTCCAGCAACATCACGGCGGGTGACACCAGAAATGGGCTTCACACATTTTACCCATGGGGAATCGAACCCGGGCCTTCGGCGTGACGAGCGATCGCTTTACCCACTAGGCTGCCCCACCGCCCCTGGCCATTCGAAATATACACACGAATATTTACTGAAAGGTGAAGATCCACGGTCCCTTGTAATGAGAGAAACATGTCCTGCTTGACTGTATTGATTTTTCCATCAAAAGGGATAAATAATGCATTGTCAGCTAAGGATCTATTTATAATGTTAATTATCATTTAATGATTGTTGTTTTTTAAAGGAAATAGAAATATTAGATAAATTTGAAACAATACGTTTTGTAAATAGAATATGGTATTTTATGTATTTATGGCAGTATGAATTAGCAACTGCGATTGCTTGTGGCTGTATCCTCAAAAGGGGGTTAAAGTGTCGTAAAATTATTTTATTCTCCTCAGGAGAGGGAAGGTAAGACAACCGCATTCAACGTAGAATTATCATTTAAAGTTTTTTAATCGTAGAATTTGTGTTATTTTAATTCATGGTTAGATTGTCTAAACTTGCTAACAGTTGAGAGAATGGTGTAAACGGCTTGTTCCCGCTGCACATTCGAGAGGTGCGGCATAAGAATTGTCTGTTCTGAATAGTGCTTTAAAGTGTTTTTTTTCACTTTGTAAAGGTGATGGGAACATGTGCGAACGAATGCACGTGCATTAAGATCACATGATCAGTGGCACGAGTTTTTTTCTGGGGTCGATGCTTGGGGGTCAATATTATGATACCCATAAACTGTCTACTGTAACAATGATGAAAAAATGAATTGTGAATTTTTAATTTTGAAGAGACAATCCAGAATATATTTCAGCTCTTTGTCTGGAATGCAATTCGCCAGTTTGAAACTAACGCCGTAAAACCCAAGAAAGCTCTTTTCTGATTGGCTAATGGCATTGGATAACGGACCTGACCGACAATATTATCAGATCTTTGTGAGGAAGGAAGCACGAATATCTGATTTGGGCTTTTATGAAAAAAAACAACCCAAAACCCATCTTAAATAGCTCAATTTTGTTCTCTGTCGTGGAAATATCAAAACGAGGCTCAGCTGCTAGAAATATTTGGCGGTCTAGTACGGACTTGATACTATATTAATCACATCGTACGTTTAATAAGCGCAGAAAATACATAACAAGTGTACCCAGTGAGCCAGATGAACTGTGAATCATTGTACGATCTCTTCAAACAGGGCGGTCTGTGACGTCTTAGTTACAGTTTAGACATGCTGCCTAAACGTCGACATAAAATATAGAAATACGATTTTTTAAAAGTTTAAAATTAAAATTGATTTGTAAATACCATTTTCTTATGGAACAAGGAATTGGAATTCAGTGTAACCATAGTTCTTTGTTGTGTCTCTTTTAACTTTCACACGAGGAAATTCGGATCGGCTGAAAAATAGGACATTGTCTGAATTGGTTAATGAAACTCATGTTTCAGTTTGGAGACTTCTTATCGGACCAGATGCACTTATTATCTGCTGTACAGCATATGTAACTGGATGAAAAGGATCGAACCGTTATAAAAATGTACCATACCCGACGCCAGATGAAATCCAGTCGCGGTTATCAAAGCAGATTCCATTTGGAGTTAAAACAAACTAGCCATGAAACTCGTGCGAAAAGACAACTAAAAATCACTGACTGATTGTCTGAGTGAGACAGGTTTTACAGCACTTTTCAAGTATCCTTGCAATATCAATAAACACTAGAAATTGGTTTCACACAGTCTACCCCGGACCTTAACGTGAGGAGCGAACGATTAAACATTAAGACTATTCCTTAGACCCTAAAAGTCAGTGCTGACACCGGATCTGGGCATTCAGGTCATTCGTCATTTGTACAATTTGCACCAAACGTAAGGGTTTTCTGAAATCTGAGTATCGATCTCTATCATGAACAAGTATCGTCAAATGCGCATACTTCAAGCATACGTTCATAAAAGCCAGATGAAATAAGGTCTTAAGATCATGGGGATGCCAGCAAATTTTCAAAAGCCAATTTTCAGTAACCATTGCTGGTCGTAAGAGGCGACTAACGGGATCGGGTGGTCAGGCTCACTGACTTGTTGACACATGTCGCCATGCATTAACCAAAGGCGTAGATCGATGCTTATGCTGTTGATCACTGGATAGTCTGAACTGACTCGATTATTACGACCACCGCACTAAAGCTGGAATACTGCTGAGAGCGGCCTTAAACAACAACAAAATAAAAATTTATTATTGTTTTATATAGGTCTTCAGTGGTTCGACATGCGCTGAACGCAGAGAGGCCATCTATTCTAACGAGAGGACTGAGGGTTAGTTGTGACAGATTTTACTGGATACGAATTAGCCATTGGAAAGTACCTGTCTGCTGACTTGTGCCATTCCAGCTCCAACAACAGCACCCTGACCAAGCTCTCTGCCAACACACGACTTTATGCTTGAGACGAAGGAGGACTTCCCATGCCCCGATGGGCCAAGAACCAGAAGCCGCAAAGGCTTTTGTCCGAATGCTTTCTGAACGCGCTCAGTGGGTTTCCATGATGTCACGTACGTCAATAGTTCATCACGTGTCTGAAACAGACAGACAACACGACAGTTATCTTTGCAACGTTGATCTAAATTCCCTTGAGAACTTAGGGTTATAATATGAAACACAAAACAGTCAACCTACCTAACTGACTGGAGGACAAAAATCACCTTCGTGGCTGTAATATACACAAAGAACTTAAATACGCACCCCCTGCATTTTTGCAGTGATAGGTTTTCAACACATACATTAATCTTCTCTTAGTGACCACGATGGAGAGACATCAGTTTTTCTTACCCGCGTGGTCCTTTGACTCATAAAAAAACGACAAAATGGTTGGAATCCATGGTGCTTTGATGCTGATAATTGCTCATTTAAAGAAAGCGCTGATTTCCATACAAAACCATGTCTGAATTCACTGGTGAATGTCATGTTGCGTGTCTCACACAAATCAAGGTCAATACCAAGTGTAACATCCATGTGACTGTATGACAGCCAGCACCCTCCTCATACACCCTGTAGGCCTCCTGATCCTCTGAATGGGGAGTCTACGCCATTCCCCGTGTAAAAATAGCTTCCAATTGGGCCAGGTTCTGTACAGGAGGATCCATTTCTTGCACACGACCACCAATCATGTCCCAGATATGCTCCAAAGGGTTAAGATCGGGGCTCATTCAATCGTGAGATATGTCACGGGGTGCTTAACTAAGTTCTTTAAGGCCTAAGTGTATAGTGTAAGTGTATAGTTAAAGTTATTAGTATGAATTTGAACATGGTCTGGCCTTTAAGGTGTAAAGAATAGTCTCCCTTTGACCATTAACGTCAGCTCAGAAGAACAGGGCCCCGTTCCTCAAAGCAATTGTAGCACTACGACAGTCGTAAGTCTATGTTAAAGTATAGGAGTTACGATCATCGTAGCGCTACGATCGTTTTGAGGAACGGGACCCAGTTCTTCTCACCAAACATCCTTCCTCTCGGCAACCAAACAACAGCTGTCAACACATCTGCACATACATGGGAATTGACGGAAATCACATTACAGTCGATCAATCATCGAAATAATTTTGTTAGAATTTTTTCAACTTTACTGTTAAGGTTCTTACTCTAATTTAGAAGAAACATATTGGTCTTTGTTTGTTTGTTTTTTGTTATTTCTAAACTGCTCGAATGAATTAGAATGATGCAACTCGCAAATTTAAAGTGATGGCTAATATATCATGAACATAAACTTCGTGTTGTCTTTAAAAATATATCAAAACATGTCAATAAGTGAAGTGATTTCTATGAGAGAGGTCTAAGATATGAGTGAGTGAGTTGTATTTTACGCCGCTTTGAGCAATATTTCAGAAATGGTGTTCACACGTTGTACTCATGTGGGGAATCGAACCCGGGACTCCAGCGGGACTAGCGAACGCTTTAACCACTAGGCTGGCCCTTGAAGATATGAACTGTTCAGTAATGATCACCTATGACTTGTCGCAAAAGAACTGAACAATATTAAGTACTTAATCGAACCCACTTTGGTAAAACAACCAATATTGTTAACATCTTCTATTATGGCATTTCGAAGCTGGTGTGATGATCAACGGGGAGAGCTCTATGGATATACAGCTTCTTTATTATTGTTTGAGCGACGTCTCGGTGTACCTACTCCGTTATCATCATTTGCTTGATAACGATGTTAGTAGCTACACCCACAATCCTGGACCCGCCCCTGCACATCAGTCGCAACTGTATATATATAGACTATAGCATAGATATATAGCAAATATTACAGTTCCATGACAGCGGTATTCAAATAATCAGAGACTGGGGCGGCATGTGTAGGAAACAACTACAATGAACATCACAACGTCTACATTCACTTTGATATGGCAAATGTTGATGCCAAAATGGTATGAAAAATTCTCAAAATATTCGAACTATACTACCCACTACTAGTGTAAATGTAGCCACTTACTTCTGTCAACTGTTTAAAAATAGATTTTGCAAAATATTCCATACTATTTAAAAGGTACTGTTTACACATTAACTGATAAATTGAAAAACAAAATCGTAACGTTGAAAAACTTATTGTAATGAGTTTAATAAATGATGAAACTCAGCGAAAATCGGCGAATACTTAACAAATCTTTACAGCAAAACACAGCTGTCCACATGCATGATATTTGCACATGTTTTTCAGGAATTTGAAGCATGATCCTCATGCAATTCATCTGCACTTGGTTCCCCAAATTAGTGGGGAAATTCATCTTCGATGTAACCAATCAACACACACACACACACACACACATATATATATATATACAGACAACACGATAGTTATCTTTGCAACGTTGATCTAAATTCCCTTGAGAACTTAGATTATATATATGAAACACGCAAAAGTCAAACCTAACTGACTGGAGGTAAAATCACCTTCGTGGCTGTAATATACACAAAGAATTTAAATACGCACCCCCTGTATTTTTGCAGTGATAGGTTTTCAACACATACATAAATCTTCTCTTAGTGACCACGATGCTCAGTTTTTCTTACCCGTGTGGTCCTTTGACTCATAAAAAAACAGTTCATTGGCAACAAAAACAGATGACGTCATTACATTTTGTGACAGCAAAAGAGTTGCGCAGATTCTAGTCAATTGCCATGACGTCATTCAATACCTGGTGTGGCCACCATTAGCATTGATCACTGCAACACATCTCCTGTACATGGAGTGGATCAGACGATTCGTCAAGGCCCTGGGGATCCTCCTGCACACATCCAGAACAACTGTACGAAGTTCATCAGCAGTTGTTGGCACTGGTCGCACTTCATTCAGGCGCCTTTGAACCTCATCCCACAAGTGCTCGATGGGGTTCAGGTCAGGGCTGAGAGCTGGCCACGGTAGGACACGGATGTTGTGTTGTTGAAGAAAGTCCATGGTAACTCCTGCAACATGTGGACGAGCGTTATCCTGCTGGAAAAGGTGGTTACGATGTTGGGCGAAAAGTGGAACAACATGGGGTCTGATGACTTGGTCAATGTAACGCTGAGCTGTGACCCCATGTCCTCGACCTTGACCCACATTCTGGAAGCACATTGGTCCAAGTCTCGCACTAAGTCCAATTCCGGCCCAAATCATGACACTAGGTCTATCCCATGCATCCCTTTCCAAAACATTTCTGTCAGCAAAACGATCTCCTTGACGTCGCGAAACTCTGACCCTTCCATCTGCATGTGACACACAAAACCGACTCTCATCAGAGAATATGACACGTCTCCATTCACGTTGAAGCCAGTTTTGATGACCCAGTGCCCACTGAAGTCGTGCTTGTCGATGCCGTGGTTGGAGGACAGGACGACGTGCTGGTCGGCGACAACGTAGGTTGTTGGAATGCAGACGTCGGATGACAGTGTCACGGCTGATGCGTCGATTATGCGTTCCTATGGTGTCTCGAGCAGTCTGGCTTGCTGTCAGGAAAGGATCTCGCTGGTGTTGACGTGTAATGTGTCGATCTTGTGGAGGGGTGGTGACCCTAGGTCGGCCGCTTCGGGGAAGGTCATCTGTAGTCTGCGTTGTGTTGCATCGATGCTTGAGACGGTAGATCGTGGTTATGTTGACATTAAAGTGACGGGCAATATCTTGGACAGACTCTCCAGCTTCCAACGGTCCGATAGCCTGCTTCCTCTCAAGTTGATTTAAACGTGGCATTGTTGAACAAAGAGTGACTGACCAAAGATTTTGGCTCAGTTTTATACCCACTGAAGATGGTGACAACTCGTGCATGTTTGATTGCACGAGGAAAGTGTGTATGATGCCCACATCGCCATTGAAGCGGTGCGTTCTGGCGATTCGTTTTTTTCTTCTGTTCCCACACTGGCTTTGCAAAACGCAACAAAAAATGTTAACAACACCATCAACCATCATTATTTACCAACCTTGTTATAATTATAGGGGTCTGAGTAATTCCTCCTTTGAGTAAGAAACTTGTGTTTCTTTTGCGTGTGAGTATTTCTTACAGGAGCTTTCTAGGAACATAGCACAGCATACCTCTGCGTTCTAATGGGTGTTAGGACCTGTGAAGATCCGTGAATGTTGATCTTCAGTAGCTCCTGCTTGTCGTAAGAGGCGACTAACGGGATCGAGTGGTCAGGCTCCCAGACTTGGTTGACACATGTCATCGGTTCCCAATTTCGCAGATCGATGCTCATGCTCCTGATCACTGGATTGTCTTGTCCAAACTCGATTATATACAGACCGCCGCCATATGGCTGGAGTATTGCTAAATGTGGCGTAAAACTAAACTCACTCACTCACTAATGGGTGTTAGATTGCGTAAATCCATGTTCTTATGTTGATTAGTGGAGTGTCTGGTCCACACTCTACAGACCGCCGCCATATAGTTGGGATATTGCTGAGTGGGGCGTTAAACAGCTAAGAAACCTGTCAAATGGGTGTTAGAAAGGCATGACAGACAAAATATATTTACCTTTTCTGTAAAAGGTGGGTGTTCTCTCCAATCCTGCAAATAATATACGTGTCACTGAGTATATCTTACTTGACACAAGTTGTGTTCTTCTATGTGCTCTTTTACCGATACTAACATAAATCTAACTAACTATCTAAGACACAAAACATTCCTAAACGACACGAGTTACGTCCCTTAGGTTACCAGAAACCTAATTACGATCAAGGGATAGAATCCTTGATCTGGCCCGATGACAGACCTATGTTCTTCACCACCATGCCCGTGCCTGTGGATTTAACAAAAGTGATAAACATCTAAATTCTGCTCATCAGATTTTCATTCAAATATCTGTAGGTTCCGTAGTCTACACATTCTCTTCCCACAGAGGTTACTCCTGTCATATCTTCCTACGTAACCTCTGTTCTAATATAGCCTTTTCACGGTGTGAGCGTTCAAGACTCGTGATTGGAGGCAATCAGATTAAGTTGTGCAATCAGCGACGTTGTTTAAAAGTGATCATTCGCAAGGCCTCGGTAATTTCCGTATACTTCGTGAAAACTAAATCTCTGCCCCTGCGCGCTGCGCAAACGTTTCTTCTAGACAGAACTCAGTCATGTTATGGCGGATCAGTGGCGTCTCCATCGCCCTCGTTGACAACGGACAAGCTAGCCATTAAACGTCTTGTGTGCAACTTCAACACAAGGCCCCGGCAGATGTGGGATATTTGTGGCCTCACATTTGCTTGTGTTAGTCACGTTGAATCTAAGTCGATGAAACACGTGTTCTGATTGGATAGAAAGAAGGGAGATAATTCGTGTTGCAATCTTTTGCCGCTATGGGATTTTACGAGAACCGGGAAATATGGCCGTATTAGAACAGAGGTTACGTAGGAAGATATGACAGGAGTAACCTCTGTGGGAAGAGAATGTAGTCTACACAGTTCCACAGAGGTCGTGTTTGCCATCTGCGGGCCTGTTTAACAAGAGAGACATCTCAGACCATGCTTCATAGATAGGGCATGCTGGGTTGCCTCCCTTAGGTCAGTGTTCGAATGCTGTACCATAGGTGGTTTTGTAGTTTACGGCGCGGCAATGTGTTCGAATCTCATTTCGCCCGGGTTATGTTCTTAGGTTTGCAGACACCATACCATAGACACTTACCGGATTCCCTAAACACTTTCCATCTAATCGTCTTGCCATATTGTCAGTCAGCTCAGCTCCCTGATCCTGTGAAAGCAGCCGTGGACGAATGAAACACCTGTCAGTAAATTGAAAGCAATAAATTGAAATATATTGAGCATATTAAAGCACTCTTCTTTAATAAAGAAGTGCATGTACGTACAAAACTCCCCGTAGATATTCATGGGATTTCATAGTAACCTGTACCGCATATTCCTCGCTTTGATTCTACTCCATGTACATGTAAATAATAGCGACAAAACTATTTCCAGATCAAACAGTAAATTGTACAAGTCCGACTGGATTTGTGCATGTACTTAGGTGTCGCTGTCAAAAAGTGATGATGCCAGATGTTTGCGAAAAGGGAGCTTATCATGCCCTATCGGTCTCTACCGTCCCAAACACAAGCAAAGGCTTGTCAAATGTGTCCCTGAAATAAAAGGCACGGGAGTGAAAATAGTGAATTGCATCCGACATCATTTTTGTCACTGACAAATGTACATGACATTTGGACTAACATGTCTAACGGTTTGAAAGTTTTAGTGAGGTCTTTAATATTGTTACACATCAAATAAAAAAACAACCAAAAACACACGGACAACCATAGATGAAAACACATATCATTCTTAGTCTCTGAAAGAAGGCGGCAGCCTTGGGGTGGCAACCCTTGTATGAAGTGAACGTTCTTTTAGTTCATATCCTGAGGTCAAAGTATGTTTCCCAAGGATCACAGTATTATCTTCACAAGAACCCCAGCCCATTTCAGTCTGCTTGTAGAATGTATATTACTCTACATTTCTTGTGTTGTCCGCTAAATTGACAACACATTTGGTCTATTTGTCTATGATCACGCATGCAAGGGTTGGTGGGGTAGTCTAGTGGTTAAAGCGTCCGCTCGTCATGGTGAGACCCGGGTTCGATTTCCCACATGGGTGCAATGTGTGAAGCCCATTTCTGGTGTCCCCCGTCGTGATATTGATATTTAGCAAAATTGGCAATTAACTGACATTTCTTTGAGAGGCATTTTAGAAGTCGTATAGATGAAGGAAAACCAAGGTCTATCACTTGCTTGATAACGGTGTTAGTACCTACGCACTCATTGCAATAAAGAAGTTGACTATCCATAGAAAGTGACACGCTGTCTAAAGCGGCCTTCACACGGCAAACTTAACTTTGACAACACATGTTGTTGACATTTTTAAACTCGTGTTTTCACACGTCAAACACATGTTGGCAAACCTTCCCGTCATTTGACCGCTATGTCTCTATCAGTGCGGTCACGTGACAATTTCGTTTACTGCGATTGGTTGTTTCTGAACAACACGAGTTTGACAACACTTCACACGTCAAACTCAAGTTTGACGACTCCGATAGTTTGATGGAAAAGTTGGTGAAAATAGAGACCGATCCTATTTCTCGACAACAGTTCGACAACTCTGAAATTGGTGTTGGTGGCGAGTTGTTGGAATGTTCACACTCTCAAACTCGAGTTTGACAACATGTGTTGTCAAACTTTAGTTTGCCGTGTGAAAGCCGCTTAACGATTACATAACATAACACAACTCACCATAACAATCTCCATGATACCTCTCTCTCAACACATTCGTAATAAAATCAGAAACGAAAACAATATTACCTTCAGAAGGATGTAGACGTGTGTGATATCGTTACTTTATGTGCATGGTTATAATGGGAAGATAACGTATCTGTAATACGACCTATTTTTGATATGAGGTGAGGTGAAATTGGGTTTAACGGCGTGCTTGAGAATATATCGCTCATATGACGACGGGCATGCGTGTGTATGTGTATGTGCGGCTGCTTGTACTAGCCCAGACTTAAACTGGTTTTATAGTGCTAGCCCACTGAGATACCATGCCGCAGTGAAGCATGAATATCCCACTCAGACACATTATACTGATTCCGAGCCGACCAGTCCTTGTTGAACCCATTAATGCCGAACGCCAGGCAGGGACCAACAAGTACCATATTTTAACGTATTTTGGTATGACGCGGTCGAGGATCGAACCCGCGACCTTCCGCTCTCCGGGCAGACGCTCTAACCACTACACCACGGAGGCGGTCATTTTTGCTATGATGACAACTTGGTTACTTATCGTTATCGACCCAGGCACTACATAATATGTACCACAGGTAGCTCAGGTATATTTGTGTACAAAATGATGTATCCACATACCTTTATGTATGTACAGACCTTGCATTACAATCCTTACCTAAAATCAATATAGACACATCGTTAACGGGAGGTACCAAACTCAAGGCACCAAAAAGAGTTGGAAGTCGGTCTTGGATGTGAACACCCCCCCCCCGCATGTCGTGTAGATAGTCAATGACATCCCCCCTAGTACATGTGTCCAAAATTGATGACACCCCTACCTCCCCAGAGCAAAATGGGTGGTACCCCCAACCCCCACCCCTACAAATCATCATCGCCCCTCCTAGCCATCAATCATGAACGGTCCCTTAAAACAGATCCCTGATTCACTTGTTAGAAGCCGACTTCATCCAAGTACAGGAGTTTTCAACATTGCTGTTCTCCTCAACACACTGCAAATAAACACGATCCAGTGCAGGGGCGGATACAGCATTTTTAGAAAGGGGTGGGGTGGGGAAGGGTGTGCGCATACTATTGAGAGAAAGGGAGGGTGCACATTTCATTTTCACCCGAGTTTCAATGGTCATCAAATAAAATTTCAGAACAAAGGGGGTGCGCACCCCTGCACCCCCCTTCTGGATCCGCCTATGCAGTGATCCTTCAGAGGTCCTTCTGTTTAATACCCGAGCCTGTGTCGATTTGATATGGCATGTAGCATATATGACACTAATTTCTGTGCACGACCTCGAACAAAATCCAAATTGATAATGGGATCAGGAGCTATATGATCAGTTTTTAAAGACATGAATAAAAGCCAATGTATTTATTTGGACCGATTTAGATTGTAGGTGAGAGCTCGCAATGGCAACACTTATAAATTAATGTAACTGAAAATGGATGAAAACAAAACACGACCACAAGTTAATTATGGGTTGGTTTAGTTTTACACCACTTTTAGCAATATCACGTTGGGGACACAAGTGTGAGTGAGTGAGTTAAAATGTATCGTCACATCGGCAATATTTCAGCCATGGAACACAAGAAATGGACTTCACACATTGTAGGGAATTGTACCCGGGTCATGCATGTGTATACAAGACAAAATACAGTTCAAGCAGGTAATCTTTATTGCAGGATCAGTGACCATTACCTGTAGGTAGAATTAGTGAGTGTGTTGGATTTTACTTTATGGCTTAGCAACATTCCAAAGCGGGGTACACCAGAAATGGGCTTCACACATTGTAATCACGAGGGATGTGGAACCCGGGTCATCGTCGTGACGACTACTCCACTGCGAACAATGTAGATAGATTGAATCGTATTGCTGATGTTTATTTAAGTTTAAGATGACAATTTGCTTGTGAAATCTTAAAATTGGAACATGTACCGTCTGTTGTAAATCTGACAATAGTGTCTGACTGGTAGTTGTTTTCAGTAGTTAAGAAATGTACTGTTATTTACGCCCCCTTCGGAGTACAGCGACAAATCAATCACTAAATGGATCTACTCAAATACTTCGAATTACCTGAGGTTCGACACATACCGCAATATGAAGACTGAGTAAGAAATATGCAGCGACCAAGCTTTCATTTCGAGACAACCCTGCTTTCACCACAACGGCGTTCGTATTTATAGGCAGCCGTCATGTATTGGTTGGTTGGCTGTTGAACGCCGCACTCAGCAATATTCCAGCTATATGGCGGCGGTCTGTAAATAATGGTGTCTGGACCAGACAATCCAGTGAACGTCCAGCTACGAACTAGGATACGATAACGTGTCATCCAAGTAAATTGAAAGCAATAAATTGAAATATATTGAGCATATTAAAGCATTCTTCTTTAATAAAGAAGTGCATGTACTTACAAAACTCCCCGTAGATATTCATGGGATTTCATAGTAACCTGTACCGCATATTCCTCGCTTTGATTCTACTCCATGTACATGTAAATAATAGCGACCAAACTATTTCCAGATCAAACAGTAAATTGTACAAGTCCGACTGGATTTGTGCATGTACTTAGGTGTCGCTGTCAAAAAGTGATGATGCCAGATGTTTGCGAAAAGGGAGCTTATCATGCCCTATCGGTCTCTACCGTCCCAAACACATGCAAAGGCTTGTCAAATGTGTCCCTGAAATAAAAGGCACGGGAGTGAAAATAGTGAATTGCATCCGACATCATTTTTGTCACTGACAAATGTACATGACATTTGGACTAACATGTCTAACGGTTTGAAAGTTTTAGTGAGGTCTTGAATATTGTTACACATCAAATAAAAAAACAAACAAACACACTAACGGACAACCATAGATGAAAACACATATCATTCTTAGTCTCTGAAAGAAGGCGGCAGTCTTGGGGTGGCAACCCTTGTATGAAGTGAACGTTCTATTAGTTCATATCCTGAGGTCAAAGTATGTTTCCCAAGGATCACAGTATTATCTTCACAAGAACCCCAGCCCATTTCAGTCTGCTTGTAGAATGCATATTACTCTACATTTCTTGTGTTATCCGCTAAATTGACAGCACATTTGGTCTATTTGTCTATGATCACGCATGCAAGGGTTGGTGGGGTAGTCTAGTGGTTAAAGCGTCCCCTCGTCATGGTGAGACCCGGGTTCGATTTCCCACATGGGTGCAATGTGTGAAGCCCATTTCTGGTGTCCCCCGTCGTGATATTGCTGGAATATTTAGCAAAATTGACAATTAACTGACATTTCTTTGAGAGGCATTTTAGAAGTCGTATAGATGAAGGAAAACCAAGGTCTATCACTTGCTTGATAACGGTGTTAGTACCTACGCACTCATTGCAATAAAGAAGTTGACTATCCATAGAAAGTGACACGCTGTCTAAAGCGGCCTTCACACGGCAAACTTAACTTTGACAACACATGTTGTTGACATTTTTAAACTCGTGTTTTCACACGTCAAACACATGTTGGCAAACCTTCCCGTCATTTGACCGCTATGTCTCTATCAGTGCGGTCACGTGACAATTTCGTTTACTGCGATTGATTGTTTCTGAACAACACGAGTTTGACAACACTTCACACGTCAAACTCAAGTTTGACGACTCCGATAGTTTGATGGAAAAGTTGGTGAAAATAGAGACCGATCCTATTTCTCGACAACAGTTCGACAACTCTGAAATTGGTGTTGGTGGCGAGTTGTTGGAATGTTCACACTCTCAAACTCGAGTTTGACAACATGTGTTGTCAAACTTTAGTTTGCCGTGTGAAGGCCGCTTAACGATTACATAACATAACACAACTCACCATAACAATCTCCATGATACCTCTCTGAACACATTCGTAATAAAATCAGAAACGAAAACAATATTACCTTCAGAAGGATGTAGACGTGTGTGATATCGTTACTTTATGTGCATGGTTATAATGGGAAGATAACGTATCTGTAATACGACCTATTTTTGATATGAGGTGAGGTGAAATTGGGTTTAACGGCGTGCTTGAGAATATATCGCTCATATGACGACGAGCATGCGTGTGTTTGTGTATGTGCAGCTGCTTGTACTAGCCCAGACTTAAACTGGTTTTATAGTGCTAGCCCACTGAGATACCATGCCGCAGTGAAGCATGAATATCCCACTCAGACACATTATACTGACTCCGAGCCGACCAGTCCTTGTTGAACCCATTAATGCCGAGCGCCAGGCACGGGACCAACAAGTACCATATTTTAACGTCTTTTGGTATGACGCGGTCGGGGATCGAACCCGCGACCTTCCGCTCTCCGGGCAGACGCTCTAACCACTACACCACGGAGGCGGTCATTTTTGCTATGATGACAACTTGGTTACTTATCGTTATCGACCCAGGCACTACATAATATGTACCACAGGTAGCTCAGGTATATTTGTGTACAAAATGATGTATCCACATACCTTTATGTATGTACAGAGCTTGCATTACAATCCTTACCTAAAATCAATATAGACACATCGTTAACGGGAGGTACCAAACTCAAGGCACCAAAAAGAGTTGGAAGTCGGTCTTGGATGTGAACACCCCCCAACCCTCGCATGTCGTGTAGATAATCAATGACATCCCCTTAGTATATGTGTCCAAAATTGATGACACCCCTACCTCCCCAGAGCAAAATGGGTGGTATCCCCACCCCCACCCTAGAAATCATCATCGCCCCTCCTAGCCATCAATCATGAACGGTCCCTTAAAACAGATCCCTGTTTCACTTGTTAGAAGCCGACTTCATCCAAGTACAGGAGTTTTCAACATTGCTGTTCTCCTCAACACACTGCATATAAACACGATCCAGTGCAGGGGCGGATACAGCATTTTTAGAAGGGGAGTTCATACTATTGAGAAAAGGGAGGGTGCACATTTCATTTTCATCCGAGTTTCAATGGTCATCAAATATAATTTCAGAACAAAAGGGGGGGGTGCGCACCCCTGCACCCCCCTTCTTGATCCGCCTATGCAGTGATCCTTCAGAGGTCCTTTTGTTTGATAACCGAGCCTGTGTCGATTTGATATGGCATGTAGCATATATGACACTAATTTCTGTGCACGACCTCGAACAAAATCCAAATTGATAATGGGATCAAGAGCTATATCATCAGTTTTTAAAGACATGAATAAAAGCCAATATATTTATTTGGACCGATTTAGATTGTAGGTGAGAGCTCGCCATGGCAACACTTCATGTAACAAAAAATGGATGAAAACAAAACACGACCTCTCTTGTATTACCTTTCCACAAGTTAGTTATGAGTTGGTTTAGTTTTACACCACTTTTAGCAATATCACGTTGGTGACACAAGTGTGAGTGAGTGCTGTGTACCTATGTTTTCATACTTCGAAAGTAGTTAACCTTTGTTGCTGGTGTATAACTAGCTAGAACATGCCTGTAACTCATGGAGTCTGTTGCTTGAGTGGTTCACTCCCTGACTTTATGTACCTATGTTTTCATACTTCGAAATTAGTAACTTTATTGCTGATGTATAACTAGCTAGAACATGCCTGTAACCCATGAAGTTTGCTGCTGGAGTTGTGCACTCCCTGACTTTGTATACTTGTAACTATATGTTCTTACTTTGAAAGTTTGTATCTCTTTGTTGCCAATATGTATCCAGCCCTAACATGGAGTTGTGTACTCCCTGTCTCTGTATACCTATCTGAAATGAATAAAAATATTTTTTTTTTAAAAATAAAAATAAATAAAAAAAGTGTGAGTGCGTGAGTTAAAATGTATCGTCACATCGGCAATATTTCTGCCATGGGACACAAGAAATGGACTTCACACATTGTAGGGAATTGTACCCGGGTCATGCATGTGTATGCAAGACAAAATACAGTTCAAGCAGGCAATCTTTATTGCAGGATCAGTGACCATTACCTGTAGGTAGAATTAGTGAGTGTGTTGGACGACTACTCCACTGCGAACAATGTAGATAGATTGAATCGTATTGCTGATGTTTATTAAAGTTTAAGATGACAATTTGCTGGTGAAATCTTTCGGGATCTTAAAATTGGAACATGTACAGTCTGTTGTAAATCTGACAATAGTGTCTGACTAGTAGTTGTTTTCAGTAGTTAAGAAATGTAATGTTATTTACGCCCCCTTCGGAGTACAGCGACCAATCAGTCACTAAATGGATCTACTCAAATACTTCGAATTACCTGAGGTTCGACACATACCGCAATATGAAGACTGAGTAAGAAATATGCAGCGACCAAGCTTTCATTTCGAGACAACCGTGCTTTCACCACAACGGCGTTCGTATGTATAGGCAGCCGTTATGTTTTGGTTGGTTGGCTGTTGAACGCCGCACTCAGCAATATTCCAGCTATATGGCGGCGGTCTGTAAATAATGGTGTCTGGACCAGACAATCCAGTGAACGTCCATCTACGTACTGGGATACGATAACGTGTCATCCAAGTGACCACCCGATCCCGTTAGTGACCTCAACAAGCATTGTTTGCTGAAGACCAATTCTAACCCGGATGTTCCCGGGTCCCTTCATTATTTGGAATGTTGCTAAGTGTGTCGATAAACAATGAATAAAACGAAGCAATAATAAACTGTAAATTCAGTTGATAACGGACGAACAGCTGGAGATGGTGAGGTGAGGTGAAATTGGGTTTAACGTCGTACTTGAGAATATTTCGCTCATATGACGACGAGCATGCGTGTGTATGTGTATGTGCAGCTGCTTGTACTAGCCCAGACTGAAGCTGGTTTTATAGTGCTAGCCCACTGAGATACCATGCCGCAGTGAAGCATGAATACCCAACTCAGACACATTATACTGACTCCGAGCCGACCAGTCCTTGTTGAACCCATTAATGCCGAGCGCCAGGCAGGGACCAACAAGTACCATATGTTAACGTCTTTTGGTATGACGCGGTCGGGGATCGAACCCGCGACCTTCACAAATCAGAGCTATTAAATTTTGGATAAGGTTATTAAGTATGCCATCCTACCGTTTACCAACAAGATGCTACAATATGATATTACTTTATGACAAAGATGGTAAAAAGAATTGGACAACAGATGACAAACACATACTTTTCTCAACTGGATGTAATCATTTATTGTACGAAAAAGGTTGAATTTTCGTCATTGTTTCTAAATACATTCACGCAATGATTAAACGAATTTTATCAGCACAAATTCTTAGAAACAATTTCAATAGCCACAAATTATAATTATTATGGAGAAAGGGTGATGACAGCTCATAATGCGTATAAAGGTTTAGGGTCATAACGAATTACAACCAACGGTCCCTTCGAGTTTGTTATAACGGTAGTGCTGTTTAAGTCGAAGTGAATCATTGTTCACGTTATCAGCCACATGTTTACCTAACCCGACAAATGAGTGTATATACAGTAGTTGGCCATACGTGAGTCATCATTAATGAAATTCCAATTGACTTGCATGTTAATTAAATCTTGCAAGAATAATTTTCATAAATTTAGTTTCGGTCGAATTGCTTTCAATACTTTTCTACCAGCTGGAAAATCATCTCAGCTACATACACATAATTTCCATTCAATTTTCCGATGATTATCTAAGAAAACTGCAACTATTTAAACAACACATATTAGACATACCAATCAGGTTTAACATGGCTGTCTATGGGATAGATTAAAAATTAAGATGTACTTATGGTGCTTAATCAGGTGTCATTCGATAGCTAATCAACAGATGAAAGAAAATTAATTTGCACGTAGCTGAAGATGATTTCCAAGATGTTTGCAATATATCAAAATAAAATGACCTCTACTCAATTTATGAAAATTATTCTTGCAACAGTTAATTAAAATGTTAATTAAATCACTTATGGCCACTTACTGCACAATCGGCCTTGTTATAGTCTGGATGTAGTTATCTGCCAAATAAACGTGACACATAACTAAAACACTTTAAATCTTTCTAAACATTGTTAAAATGGAATTCAAGGCATCAAGTAGCAATATGTCCGTGTTCTGTTCAAGCTGGGGCTGGTCTGTGTAGCACTTCACTGGGAATACGGGAACATAAAAAATCGCCTGCCCTAGAGATAATGTACCTTGTACATCGTTGTTCCAGAAATGAGATGGTAAATCAGGTGTCAGAGCGTCAACATGTGTCATAACCACACTTCTAGGAATATCTGGAACATAGACGACAATCGATATTTCACCGCTGAAATTAATGCATGTTACTTGATTAAAGTCCCCAAGGTCCCTAGCATGGTGATCTACCTTCAGTTGCTGGCGATCTATAGCCCTTTTTAGGGGCGGTGGGGTAGCCTAGTGGTTAAAGCGTTCGCTCGTCACACCGAAGGCCGGGTTCGATTCCCCACATCTGCACAATGTGTGAAGCCCATTTCTGGTGTCCCCTGCCGTGATATTGCTGGAATATTGCTAAAAGCGGCGTAAAACCAAACTCACTCTCTCACTATAGCCCTTTTTACGATGTGTTGTTGTTTATTATCTATTCTTTTAAATGCATTCAACTTGTTGTAACTTATAACTGTGATAATCTAGTTATTCTACTGTCCATCGATGACAGGTTTTTATTCCTTATGTATTTAGTCGTAAAATTCAAATTCTCGTCACGACATGGCTGAAATAGTGCCGATGTGACGCTAAATTTTAACTCACTCACTCACTTGATAAAAGGAGGAAAGTCCGAAATAAGTTGGGGTTGTTGTTTTTTTAACTCCAATGAGTTCCATGATTGAGTGATTGAGTATGGTTTTACGTGAAGGCAATCGAACCCGGATCTTCAGCGTGACGAGCCAACACTTGAACCATTAGACCACCCCACCGACCCTGAGATTCGCGAGGACCGGCGCCGACAACCCTTCGAACACACGGACGGGCGGATCGGGAATCGAACCCATGAGGGGGATAGGGTATCGGTTAACCGCCGTTCGTCTCTCGGAAGGCCCGCATTTATTCCCCAATGTGAGAAGCCCATTTCTGATGGTCTCCTCCCTGCTATTGCTGGAACATTGTTTAAAGCCGCGTAAAACCACACTGACCCGCTCACTGCAACCCAAGATCATAGTTTCCGGCCTGTAACTCTGCATTATAAATTCAAAGGCATCATCTGGTGCTTTGCTTACGTTATTCACTGTGTGATAAATACTGTTGGAATCAAGATGACACAGGAAGACGTCACAACGTACAGTCTATTATTGTGAAGGGGTGCACCTGTGTCAGATGATTGGTGTAAACGAGTGGACTGATTGCTGTACCCATGTTGAACATTTGGGACAGAAATATTGCAGTTGAACATGAAATAGAAAAATGGATAACTGAACTGGGTGTAGAGAGTGAAAGCGAGAGTGAATCGCATTGTGAAAGTAACTGACGTCTGTAAGTTGTAAAGTTAGCAAACCAAACTAGATAGCATATGACTGTATAAACAATTCAATTAAAAAATGACATGATTGTTGTTTTTTAGAAGTGTTGTTTTCCGGGACAAGTTCTGTAACGAATCTATGTATGCATGCAACATTAATAACATTCTCTGCACCCCTATTTGATGAAGATAACCCGATCTGCCGTTTGTGCCATTTGACCTCTCGGGTCATGCATATGTAGAGTAGCTCAGGTCAAGCTGTAATGTGACGTATTTACTTACCGCTTTGTTTAAGGAGGTGATTGATCTTATCATACTGAGCCACATGGTCGCTTTGCGTAAGGTCGGCGATGTTCTGAGCATCGAACACAAAGATAACTCCTAATACTGTGTCAGCACAGGCCTCCTCTGTCATCACTGGCATTGTGCGTGTAGACACCTGAAGCAAAGTCACAGTTGTTACATAATAAAATGGTGGTCATCTAAGGTGAGTGAGTGAGTTAAGTTTTACGCCGCTATAAGCAATATTCCAGTAATATCAGAAATATGGGCTTCACACATGTGGGGAATCGAACCCGGGTCTTCGGCGTGACGAGCCAACGCTTTAACCACAAGGTTACCTCACGCTTATGTTTATTTAGGCATTTTCGTCATTTTCGGTATGGCCATTCCTTAACATGTGTGAAGTTTGATATGTGCATGTACATTATTAAAACTGTGTCATGGTGGCCTGTTGATTCCAGTGTGTGCCAGAAAAACCGATGATTGATAGCATGAGTAACGTGCTTTTCGGGCATCTTGTCATCTCTTACGACCAGTATCGGGAGCTTATAACGTGGATTCTCACGTGGATTCCTCCATTTTAAAAACAAATACTAAGTTCACAATCTATGATTACAGCATGCATATCGTGCCATGATGTAAACCTATTATTTTGCAAACCTTTAAAGAGCAATGAATACATTCATGACAAATCTAACGAGCGTTAGTTTGGGTTCTGAACATTTCATTGCAGATAACAGTGGCACCATTAATTGCATAGCGTTGTGATATCTGATATATCGTCACTTAGTGGAGTAACAATATCAGTTTAACCGTATCGCCTCAGGAAAGTGACTCTGTTCCATCACACGTGAATGGGTACCCGTCAGGACGACGTCGTAATGTGACTCTTATAATACCTTCCGGCCCCGTGGGTTCTATGTACGCCAGGGAGCTGGGATTAACGTACACATTAAACCACTGTCCTGAGTAATAATACAATGGTGCACTGTTAGCATGCTATCTACTGTGTGCAGTACAAATGCTGTATTATCGGAAAAACAGGTACTGTGGATAGTCAACTTCTTTATTGCAATGAATGCGACGTTTCGGTGTAGGTACTAACATCGTTATCAAGCAAGTGAGTTGAAGTTGACTATCCATAGAACCTGGTTTTCCTTCATCGTTACGACTTCTAAAGTGCCTCTCAAAGAAGTGGTGTATTATCGTTGTATTGTTTGTATCACAAATTATACCATGACTATGTACAACCTTACGTTTTCTGCAGGTGGCGTCTGTGCTTCAATAGCCTTTAAGACTCGATGGTATAGGCTGCCATCTTCTGACATTTCATGACACTCACACATAGTTATTGGCAGCGTCGTCCTCTTATGAGTCAACGTTTTCTCAGGGCACTGTGGACAATACTTTTAAACAAATTACACATGAACATGAAAGATGCCATCTGGTACGAAGTATTCTTAAAACATTAGGAAATGGAGCTAAGAACATAAAATCGGATCTTCCGTTTCTTGGATTCTATTCGATTTGGAGCTGAACGTTTCAAATTCTCTTTGCCGAGAAATACGTTTTAAACACAACTCGCCATCCGTATGTTGCATTTTGAAATTGACGGTATTTTAGTCGTTCATTGAGCTGTGAAACAAGAACATGATAAGCTAACTGTTTGACTCAACTGTTTCTCACCACGCCATGCACATCGGTTTTATTAATTTTCAAGCCCTGGAGGGTAGGCTAATAAAACATGTGTCTATATTATATATACCGGTTAGAGTGGAACAGGAAACATTTATCCTACATATCCTACCCATGTGTAATAACATGTTTCAATTATTCCTAACATATGGGCGTATTTAGAATATTGTATTGACAAGTAAAAATGTTATTCACAAATGTTATGCACAGTTGTTCCAGAACGATGGCGTCTTCTGTTTGTAACACTGGTGTCGGATTGGTTTATGTAACACAGAATTGAATACACATATTTTCAGAACAATCCAATGTCATACCACCAATATTCAGTACTGACATGTTTCGATTGCGAAAAACATTAAACATATTCGATCAGTGATATATTATGGCTTAATGTTAACATCATTCATGCATTTCTCACCTTACAATAACAGACAATAAAACATTTACTACTCGCCTGTTCGTCTTCACCAGTGGGGATTATTGTCCCCTGGAATATAGACACCAGACTTCGAATGAAGGCAGACTTGCCACTGTGTTCTGGTCCGATGACGAGAATCTTCAGTGTTGCCGGTTTTGTGTTGTCACTGTACGGTGTCCATGACAATATTCGCTTGAACAGCTCACTCCTCGTCTGAAACATAAGCAATGGTGAAAGTATAATTTAGGTTTGGCTAAAGTGTTGCCATATGATGTGTACGCTCATCACTGTCTCCTTACTGACAGCCCATGTGGAAGATTTGGGACTGAAACAAATTTGGTTCCCACCTCTGGAGGGTCCAAAATGGAACTGATCCCAACAGCTTATGTCTGCTGTAAAAGGCGACTGTTGTGGTCGAATTCCGACTTTCTGACATGGCTGATTTTGTCAAAACCAAGACACATACACACTCGCATGCACGTCACGCCAAGTACCTTGGACAACATACCACCATAGCCTCGTATGCCTTGCATCTATTTACGAATAGAGATAGGAAAATACTGAGAAACTGAGGGTGTTCCGGGTATAATCATTTATATATCATCATATATATAATTATATATATATATATATATATATATATATATATATATATATATACACGAGTATATGATTGGTGAGGAAGAGTTTTCTGTTGAAAACAAATATTCTAACAATAACATCCATATATACTATCCCTAAAAAGAAACGCATAGGCGTTTTGTATGATTAAAAATCTATTAATTACCCATTGTGTTCAAACAATCGTTAACATACAACTGTATGTAAGAAAAGTGTTGATAACATGCTTTTACACAATTGCACAAGTAACAAATTCGTCTTTACCTGAAAATGTTGATTTTGATGATATTTCTTACAAGGATTAAAAAGGCATCACCACAACGCAACAGAAATCACCTTCCAGTTGAAATTGTGCATCAAAGAGCATGCACTGTCTGGATATAAAAATCCAGATTACTTTCGGAAATCGGCATTCGGTTTGAAGAAGTTTCAAGGTCTTGACTCTGCGACACGGAACATCGCCATTGAAAGAATGCACGTTGGGAATTACCAATCTTCTGTTACCAGGCGTCTGAATGTTAGTCTGAGTACGATATCACGCCTTGCAGCTCGTTACAACCGAACAGGCATAACAAATGACCGTCCCCGTACAGGCAGACCTCGAGTCAGCACTGTAGCACAAGATCGGTACATCCGGGTACTACATTTGCGTGATCGTACTGCCACGGGTGAGAGCACAGCAGCCAGGTGCCTGGATTTCGGAGGATATCCGATCAAACAGTACGGAACAGGCTGAGAGAGAATGGACTGAGAGCCAGGAGATCCGACGTCGGGCCCGTGCTACGTCGTCACCATGGCGCTCAACGTCTCAGTTATATAAAATTATCCACTTGGTTATATAGACATTTCCTTCTTCTAAACTGATGCAAAATTCATGTACTAAAGTCTATTTGTGGACGAGTTATACATGTTTGAAAATACAACATTTTCACAACAGATTTCTTGGTTATGCGTTTCTACTTTTAATAGTATGTATGAATATATTTGAACCAAATTACCTTTTTATGAAAACGGTCAGCCAACCTCTTCTTCCCACCATATCTCAGAGCCTGCAATCGAAAATAACATTTGTGTCACTGATGTTTTGGTTTGAGGGAGGGTGGTTAAATTGCTCTGCGTTAAATATCCTAGTTCACCAACCCAGTTGTCTATAAGATGTGAAGCCCGGTTCTCGTCACGATATGGCTGAAATATTGCCGATGTGACGTTAAATAATAACTCACTCACTCACTCACTATAAGAGTTTGACTTTGGTTGGATTGTTATAGCTTATACCATAAAGCTCATTTAGTTATTATCCCTACATGTATAATGCACAGTACTTAGTAAAGTAGATTATCAGTTGTCATATTGTCACAGTTTAATTAACATCAGTCTGATGTTTAAACATCATTTCAAAGAAAACTGGGATTGTAAACGTTGCATGTTTCGTTTCTTACATGATGTGTTTATAAGGTAAACCTAGATTCAAAATGTACTATATTAAAAAGTACTACATTATATGTACTGAAAATATTTCCGGATAAATCCACCCATACTTACTCGAGGGAAACAGCAATGGCACATACATGCAAAAGTCTGCAAAGAAAATAATTCTGAATCAGCTTATTTCAGCGATTGTGTTCACATCTTCATAACTAGATACATGTATCTTAAAGACATCTTTCAAACGTGATTTCTTTAAGAAATAATAGCAGCATTACTTTACATGCCGTTATGCTTGCAAATGTCATTGATAAAAAGTATGACCGTTAATGTCTGTAAATTCTCATGAGACGTGGAAACATTCTGTACATTACCATCCACAGACACATGCAGCACTGAAAAATAAATAACTGGCGTGAAACTGATGTTTATCCAGGACAAGCATTAAAATGACTTTCCTTAATTGGAATGCTACTGAAACTAAGGTCTCCTGATGTCACATCCTAGTACATGCTATCGATTTGTCCAACCAAATAGCCCGGGATCGATTCCTCACATGAGTACAATGTGTGAAGCCCATTTCTGCTGTCCCCGTACAATTGTGATTGTAAAAAGAATATCCAGTTTTGACTATCCTTCAAAATAGATTCCTTTAGGTGTGGAGGGCAAATTAGCTGTGAAAATCATATAAATGGACCACTTGAAATCAGTGGGAACATCATATGTTCGCGACAGACACCCTCGATTATCATTATTGTGTATTTTCTTTCTTTTCGTTAAGGGGCGATTCGCCTGTCTCGGATTCAAATTCCCCACATTGGTGCAAAATGGGAAGCACTTCCGGTGTTAAGCTGCAGGAATACTGCTACGAAAGCGGTATAATTCCATACTCAGTCACTCACTCCCTTCTTTTAAAGTAGATGGTAAATACACTGGATGCGTTCGTCCGGTCTACAATACGCAACGTATAAACGGGGATCCAATCAATTTCATTCAATAACCAGAGGATTCGGGTGCGACGATTCTGACAGGAAAGACGGTAACGAAGCTAAGCGACTATGGTTGTATGTATATGTATAAAAATCATATTCCTAGGGTTATCGAGGATGAACCGTAAAACCTGTCTACTATTGTCTCAATATATTTAATTGATAATATGATTAATCAAAAGGAAAAATTCAGCAAATAGATTAAAATATTCAGTGTCGATTCATATCATGTGAACGACAAATATCAGGGAGAGATTATAAGAATTTTCCAAATACTTCCTTGACTGACAAAAACCCGACAGTTGTTACCTGCATCTGAAAACAGAACGCTCACTTGGGAATTCTGGTGTTTACAGTTTCAAAATCGACACAAAACCAACCCCGGCCTTTTTAATATTTACATGAACAGTCATAAACATATATGTGGCATACACCCTACAATCGATTAAAAGTCATTTTTAGCCTATGTTATAAGGTTAAAATGCCTTAGAAAAATATGAGATGATCCAATTAAACGTTTAGAATGACAGCTCGTTTCGTGATTGTTTGTGATGCTGTAGTGACCTTCTAAACAGGACTAGTGATGAGACACAGAAAATATGACCCGTGAAGATCCGGGTTAGAATTTGTCTTCAGCAATCCATGCTTGTCCTAAGAGGCGACTAATGGGATCGGACAGGCAGCGTCGCAGACTTGGCTGACACATGTTATCGTATCCCAATTGCGTAGAACGATGCTCATGCTGTTGATCACTGGATTGTCTGGTCCAGACTCGATTATTTACAGACCACCGCCATATGGCTGGAATATTGCTAAGTGCGACATTAAACACCAAACAAACGAAGAAATGATTCATCACAAGGAAGGAGAATTTAGAACTGTAAGGTAATTTATAACGATGCCTGGAACTGTCCCTTGAGCGGTGTGAGACTCAGACCAGTGACATTTACAGTCAGATTAAAACATCTCTGTCATTAAAGTGTCATGTGATAGATATGGAACGTCATACTAGTTGTCCTTTGGCCTTACTGAACGAGAAGATATCAAGATAAGAGATAAACAAAGAATTCCTATCGTAACATCTTCCTTGTGTAGTCCAAATGCTCTGGTATGACGTTCTATATATGTGTTTGATTATCACACATATGTGTGATACTTTGCTCACCATATTGTTGTCCTTTTTGTCAGGACTGGCTGTCTATATAGGATCATTCTGATCGAAAATCGTTAACAAACTATCTATC